ACAGATGATGGTGTTGATGTGTGCCCTATAGTAAAAGCAACCGGTTGAACCCACTTTCTCGAAACACCAACAAGAAGAAAAACCAGTGCTCGATCAGCGATGGTTGAAGTGCGATGAGTGCCATCATCTGTAAAACCCTGGACAACGTCTCTTGAAGCATCATAGTACAAATTCTTTTTGAGTGCTATTTCGTCGAAAACTAAAGCGCACACTCGGTCCCGTTCATTCCAAGCTTGAGTATTTGTTGCAATGGAAGAAAGGATTCCTGGAATTATGCCTGGAGTCATCTTTACATTAGCTAGCCACCTCCTTAATGAACGCCGGGAGGGCAAAGAAAAATACGGAGCCAGAAATCGGTATGCTCGCGGACCTCGGAAGTTTAAGTGAAGAGCGAATTTCTTGAACCACACGGGAAACCGCTTGCCCTTGCATTTGGGCCTCAAGCGAACATGTGCAGAAAGAAGTTTAAAAACCTCCTCGGTGACGTGCGGTCGGATAACTTCAAGGGCCTTCGTAGTCGATGACGGTGCTTGGTGAGGCTGTCTCTGCAGTCTTTTGATAGTTTTCCGCTGTGCTGCTACTTTGGCTTGCAGATGTTTAATGGTTTGCTTGTACTTCATTGATGGAGACATTGTCGCTGGCACACAGGAACGCACTGCAATAAACAAAAAAATTGATGTAAAAGCGAAGAACAACTAATCCCATACGAGCACTTTCCTCGCTCTTTCAGACCCAAGGTCTGAAACTTTCTGTGGTACAAAGTTTTCGATTCCACTACCTAAAAACAAACCATTCACAATGTTGACAATGCACAAAAAAAATGAAAATCACTGAGAGCCCACCCTTACATTTTGTAAGTGCACACGTAGTGTCCTTTTGAGGATAGTTTCCTCAGAATGTCCTAAACATAAAATAGCACATTAAAAACTGCTGCAATAAAAGCATAGTCACCATTTTCTCTAAGGCACTCAGGCGTGGAGCTGTTGGCGGAGACGTCTTCTGGAGGGTCTTGTGAAGCTTGTTCAGTGCCTCGGACAATGCTGTCGGAACAATCTTGCGAGCGGCCTGCGGAAGTCTCTATATCAATCCACTCTGGTGTTGAAGTGAACATACAACTTACCGGCCACACAAGTTCCTTTTGTGACAGCTGAACGACTGGTTAAGGTTTTCTCCGGCAAGACGAAATCATCAGAAATTCTTTCACCAGCTACAAGGGAGCTGCCACCTGCAGAGGTTTGGTCAACAGTCAATTTGGGTAAAAAAAAAAAGAAATCGCGACACTGAACGCACCCTGTTCATCGGGGCACCTCAATGTGTGGGAGCCGCTTTCTGAAGCCTCTACCGCAGGTCCTGAAGAGATGAAATTACGACAATGTGTCAGTAAGAGGCTTATAATAACACAAACTGAAGCTCATCCGCACCTTGCAGTGCAGCTTCTGCAGCCATGTCACAGTCACTACTTGAAGCGACGCTCAGAGAACCTGCATATATGTGCAGTTGGTACAAGTTACAAAGCTTGTAGCATGGGGAAGCTTAAACAGCTCTTTCAAACGCATAAATTGGTCGAACGTGGAAGAAAAGAGACGGCACCAACTAGGAAACAAGTAATTTGTGATTTTTGGAATTATCAACAGTGGCAGCTTTCACTGATGAAAGGTATACGTACATGTGCACTCAGGCTTGAAGATAACGTGAAATAGCCCTTTAAAGTCTTTCAAAACAAGTTGCGCAGGTCCAGAGCATCAAAAAATGACAGAAATGTAAAGCTGCTGTTAGGAAGGTAATAGCCCACAATTCACAGAACTTAAGACTTTCCAAGTGTTACTTCTGTAGTGAGGTTTCTCTATCGGCTACAGAGATCTTCACGGTTAACTGTCGCCACTGATTCAATACAAGTGGCTGCTATTGCACATATTTGAGTTTCAGTCAATCACTTACATGGTGCAGCTGGTTGCACACTGGGAACAGCCATTCTTGTAAGCCTTGTGTGCCCAGGGTCCATGAAACTTTGAGCAGTAAAATGGTCGCTACAAACCCTGTACGTTGCGTACAATAGGCTGGCCGGCTTACTCAGGAGATCATCGCGTCCAGCATACTGCATCCATGCTTTCATCCTGCATTGGCAATGAACTATCAGCTGAAAGGGGAAGTGCTTGAATAGTGATTTTTTATTGTTACCCTCACTTAGCAAGTACGAACAGTAAGCCTACAGACATGCAAACCATACAAAAGCTTTAACACACCTGCCGTCCCGTGGTACGCGGAAGAAACTCGTCCCAGGCTTCTTGTGGGTTCTGCCATTGTTGAAGCACCACGATACACAGCAGTAGCTGCCGTAGCTTGGACCGCCGGACGGCATGGCGTCAGCGCGGTCTGAAAATGTTAGTAAGTGGATGCTTCGCTGTCAAATTACAAAAAAGATATGTGCACGTCATAAGTGTACCAGCAAACCCCTTTGAATGATTAGCTAATCGATGCACAATACAAAACCAGTGATACATCTCTGACCCATAAAACTCTGACTTACAAAGATATACGTCAAGACCACGAACAAAGATCTTCAGAAGTTTCCAGGCCGCTATCCCTTGTAATGCAATGGTATCGCGGCCTGGGAACATTAGAACACCTTCGTGCGTACGCAGTATCAGCAGTACATTGGGAAGAAAAATCGTAGTTGAAATTTGTGCGGTAAAATTATATTGGAAACGTCAAAAAAATTTGTGGGCAGCTTGCACTAGTGGCACAAGGCTAGCGAAGAAACGAAGATGATGGCCACTTGGCTAGTCCAGATTTGCCTCCGGCACACCAAGAATTATTCGTGTTCCGAGCCTTCGGGAAATGCGTCGTGAAGCATGCGAGGCCCAACAAACGCTTCTCAATATTTTGCACCGAGCCTACGACCTAGCTGCCCAGCTATGCTCAGCGCACAGACGCTCGCGTCCGTGGCAGACGCAGCACGCGTCGCCTCGGCTTGACGCCGTGCCGCCTTTTCTATACTGCATACGTTGCACAATGTTCCCGTCTAACCGCCGCATAGAGCCACAAACTTTCTTTTTAGCGAACCTCCCAGTCCTTACAAGCTTCAGAAAAAGGTTACAACTGCGTGAATGACACGCCACGTAAGAAACAAACTCGCACACACGAAGCGCAACGTGTGTGTGTGCATCTTTCTATGTTTGTTGCATGGTGTCTTTTTCGCGCAGGCGTAACCGTTTTCTGAAAAAATGACCCAACAAGACCAACAACATGTCATTCAACAAGCTTCGCTTGAAAACGTGCCTCACCTGTTATCTCACGCTTGAAAACGCCGACGCAGCCGACGTTGACGAAAGCGACGAAAGCGTCTCGCTGTCAGTCATGCATGGGCTTGTCGCTGGATAGATGGTGTTTATGACAGTACGGCTGAAGAAAAATAATCGCGTAAGGTGTGTTGAATAAATCGTTTTTATGTATAAAGAACATACCAAATTTGGGCGTGTAATTATTAATTTGTGAAAACAATTCTGTTGCATTGATTATAACTGTGTTTTTTTTTGCGCTTGCGCCCTCTGACGTGTGGTGGGAGCACTAGTTCGTTACGTAGTCGTGACGCACTTCCTGAGGCCAGGTTTCGCGGAGTGTCCGCTCTTGTCTTCTTCTTTCTCTATGATAAAACGGCTTATGAAATGCACGACAGATTCGACGGAGGAAGGAAGTAATCGATATCTACGTACACGTTTGTAGAGCGGGTATAGCGACAGATTGCTAACAAACAAATTTATCTAAAATAGATTGTTACATTAGTCTTTAGCAAAAAGCAGAGATGATTCGGCCAGAAAATGTAAACTTTTATTTCAGAATACACATAATACTTACTTTAGGCATGCCTTGAAGAATTCTATGAGCACTTTTTGAACACGAGTCTTTGTGTTCTCACAGAATCCATGCGGGTAACTTGAATCAGGGGAAGCTTTCGCCCCGCTTGTTCCGTAAAGATCGCCTAAGTGCACTACTTAGGAACACGTGTTGAGTTGTTTATCCCCAGGAAAGCCTGTTGCTTGATAGCGCGTGTGTTGTTCTTGAAGTTCGTGTGCGCGCGGATGGTGTCTTGCCGGCGAGGTGTGTGTGATCGTGTACTCCTGTCACGCTGTCGCTCTCCGTCTGTTCCGGTTTTTACGACCATCGAACGTTTCGAGATTGCTGGTTGCTTTATTTGAAGGGCCTCGCAATTTCTGAAGTCGATCGCTTTGGCGAACTCTTTGCATGTGGGTATATGCACTTGAAACAAGTAGCGGATCTGAACGAGGCAAGCCTGCGCTCTGGACTTCGGGACGTATGTTTACAAGTGAACACGCTGCGTAATTAGTGCGGGGCAGTTGAACAGTGGGCTGTTGGATGTCGAATCCCGCGTACATTGTGCATTCCCACCACTGACAAACATACGTCCTTAACACGAACGAAAGCAACCTTGCTATACTCAAAACATTAATTCTTCTCCATGAAGATGTGTTCTTGTCACTGTATGTCCACACGCTAGCAGTTTGGCGTAACAGGCAGTTGCAATTATTTTAGGTTACCAGCTCACATCCAAGGACGTGCAGTTTTTGTTTTTCTCTTTCATTAGATATAGTTCACGTGCCCTAGACTTCTCGCATTACAATCACAGGCACGGGGCACTTTTGATTACGATCAGGGTCGACCTGGGCCACATTTTTTTTATGACGATATACAATCGCTGTTGCTACTCGGTTCAAAATAACCCGGATCGAGTTTGGCGTAGCAGATCATTTTAATCGCGATCCGGGAGCTAGATCACAGTGCGCAGATCGCGATTAATAGTGACCATGAATGAACACACAACACAGACAGCAACAATTAAGCTCGCCTAGGGATAAACCTTTTCTTCCTCCGTGGTTACAGTGGCTAGAGCCACTGTAACACGGTTAGGGTGGCCATTCTAGCCACTCTAACACGGTCGCATCGCTGGCTTATAGTGGCTACAATTAGATCAAAAACTGGATTTTGGCTGCTTTTTTTTTTTTTTTTTGGCTCACATGGAGCTGACGACCAGAACCAGACGACGCTGCGAGAACCCGCTGCAAGCACCGTTGTTTTAACTACTGTCACTGCTGTCATTTGACCTGTTATCGTTAATTCGCTGCTGTGCAACAAACATCCTTGAGCCGACTGTGTCTCTGTGAGTGAGCTGGTGCAGCACTCTGCTACGGTGTTGGGAAGAATGACATCTGCCTACTGACCGATCTTCGGTGTTGCGTCCGACCTGTTCTGGCCGCAACACATCTCGTTTTCATAACGCAGCTGTGTACGGCAGACTTTACATACAGACTTTACATACAGTCGACATTGAAGAAAACGTTTTTCGTTATTGTTTACGTGGCCGTAACATATCTGCTGCCTTCCTTGGCGCGCACAGTGTATTGTCATGCATCAAAACGCGTTTGGGTCGCCGTTCGAAGGGCCTGTAACTCAACTGTGGAGGGAAGAAGTTTTCCCGAGGTGCCAGAATGCCGTAGTTTTCCTCGACGATGCTATGGCAGAAGCATTGCACTGGAATGGAGGAGCAGACAAGCTCTTCGAGGCTGGTGCCTTGGCCGTCAGGGAGTTCAGCTTCTTTGAGGTAACATAACGTCCAGAGTTTATGCGCCTGCCATAACGTGTCGGCCGGCTGCGGTCGCCACAGGATGTTGAAACCAGTCCCACAGGCACGAACACTTTGGTTGCACAATTTTAGCTGTGTAACTAGCGTATGTTGAGTAAATATGTGCGTTGCGCAGTAAAGCTTGGTAGTGAAACATATGAAATGGGTAATTCAGGCTGGAGGTAGTTAGAAAAACAATAAATGCACCCTACATCAGTCGCATGAGTGAAGGCTTTACGTAAGATATTTGCATTTTTTTTAGAAGTGAACAACAATGCTAATTCTAGGGATGAAGCTGGACATTAAATATTTTACCCTGTTGATCATTTCAATGCAGTATTCGTTTTTTCTGATAACCATTGTCTTGTTTGGCTTGCACATTGCAGAGAGACCTGCAATACCGGTTCGGTACTTGGCTCATTGCAGAATTACTCCAACAGGTCAGACCGCAGTGTTCTGCGGTCTGACCTGTCGGTGTAATTGTGAACAAAGTTATCAAACCATTCATTTTTTTTTATTGTTAGTTATTGTGACACTGTACAGCACAATATGCTTCAGTGGCGAAAAACTGTTACCAGTACAGTGGATGTAACAGAGGGCTGTGCTGGCTGACCCTGCAAGAAATTGTGCTTGGCATTATTCTTTTTATATGTATGGCAAGGAAAGAAAGGGAGCAAATTGAAACCTGAAGACATGCAAGATGCTTTCAGTGCATGCTACTTATCAATTTATCTAATTTGTCATTGCCTAACAATCTTTTTCATGTAGAATGTCTGGTCTGGCTTTCAAATACTGATTATGGTTTTACAATGTCAACAGTGAGGCTAACTGCAATAAAACAAACACATAGGTTGACTGCAGTACAACAAACACATATTTCAGTCAAGTAATGGGTTTTTAATTAGACAACTGATTTTTTATTGACTGGTGATGTATTCATTGTGTTGGATTTTTTCAGTGAGCAAGAGGAATTATAATAAGCAGCGACATCAGTTAAACCTTTAAATAGTTTTAACAATATTGCATTTTTTATACCACATAGTGCTTTTGAGACACATGGATAACTGCATTCCTTGATCGTATTGAAAATTATTGTCATGTAATTCAACACCGCATAAGTGGTGGCAGTTTCGCAAGGTGTCTGGGGATAAGTTATTATAAAATCAGTGTTTGGAACAGTCACATTCCTGATGGCTTTTTCGTGAAAGTAAGAAGCCATTATATGCACTCACATTCCACTTTCATTTCATACACACTAGCTTGTCTACCAACTGTGTTGGCTGTGCGCTTATGCCATATGCACGCTTTATTGTGTCTATAGTCACTGCGAGCAGAGGAGCAAATCCCTTGTGCCAGAAAATGTGTGTCTAATTTGCTCTCCCACACTTGCATGCTCGTAAAGGTGTTGCATCTTTTGCAGATACAAAAAGAAGGTCCTGCTGTGTTGCAGCAGTAAATTAATTAATACACTATGATTAGGCATGCAGAGACAACAAAGGCAGCAACAGATAACACATATGCTGTGACTAAAATTCTCATCAAACACTGAGAACTCATGTAGCGAAAATTTCAGAGCTAGTTAAAGAAAGTGGTGCTGAGGTGTTTGTGAGTGTTTTATTCATACATGCTTGCTTACATGATAGTGAGGGACTGCACATCTTGAAAGCAACACATTTCTTTGCCAAACTGTACATGGCAGACATTTGCCAGAAGGGGGAAATGAGTTCATGCATTCAACTCTTGTATTGAACTTAATGAGGGAGTGTAGATGTATGCACACACTAGCATGTAACAGTGATTGGGTGCTGCACAAAAAATCAACTCGCTATGAAAATATTCTTTACCTGTCAACACTTGTAATTTTATTCTGTAAACATCATTTTTTTTTTTTTTGCAGATGCATGAATAATGTGAAATATATATGTTTTCTTGTAATTTGTTTGGTCGCGACCGTGTGACCACTTTTCTGCTTGCACATGTCTGTTTCGTCAAGTCGAATCAAGTCAAATTTTATTTACGACACGGACGAAGTACAATGTTGAAGGCCACCCTAGCAAGAAAACTGTAAGCATACAGCTTGACAAGACTATGGGGCCGAAACCAGGCAACAGCAGCAGTGCACACATGTGCCGTACAGACAACACTTTTGGTTCTTGTAAATACAAATAAATACATGTGTGCACACTGTGAATATGTTAGAGTATGTGTGACCGATGTTAGAATAATGTGACCGCTCAAAAAGTATTGTTCATTTACAATTCAAAAATGAATATGAGCAAAAGCAGTAGTAAAAAAAGAAAATAAAAAGAGCATATATGTGATGAATACATTGTAAAAAGGATAGATAGATAGATAGATACAAAGTAAATTTGCAAGCTTCAGGCATAAATTTGAAATTGATCATTGAAAAAGACATCAAGCAAGTGCTTGCTGTATGTATGTTCCTACTTTTCCAAGATGTTTACTATTTGCATGTCTAGTGCTATTTTACATATATTTACCTAAAATGTCATATTACATGTGGAATCATGTGGATAGCACACTTGTCATATAAATGCGTCCTTAGAAATGAACAGCCAGCCCCGCCGCTGTAGTGTAGTGGCTAAGGCATGCGGCTGCTGACCTGCAGGTCACGGTATCGAATCCCAGCTGCAGCAGCTGCATTTTCGATGGAAGCAAACATGATGTAGGCCTGTGTACTCAAATTTGGGTGCACGTTAAAGAACCCCAGATAATCAAAATCTCCGGAGCCTTCCACTACGGTGTCTCTCATAATCATATGGTAGTTTTGGGATGTTAAACTCCACATATCTACCATCTATCAAGAAATGAAAAGGCAAGTATGTGTTCGCCATAGTTTACAGATGAGCAGACACTGAGCAGTTAAATACACTAGTACAGAATCCTTGTAAATGAATAATTGTTATATTTTGTTTTTCTAGTCTTGCTGGGTACGCTTTCAGTTATAGCAGTGCCACTATGCAGTTAGTGTAGATGGGGTATTATGTTTGTAGTCTGTAAAATAGAACTAGAATTGCATATGTGCCAGTATATTTTATAGAGCACTTATAATATAAGTGTTCAGCCATTTTTTCAATGTTTGCCTACTTGCAGCATGGATCAGAATCGGAGAAAAAGGCCCTATTCTTGGTATCTACGCCGGTGACTGAGCAGACGTTGGCGACTCTTTCTGCCGTGGTGCGAGCAAGCGTGTTCACCAATGTCAGTGTTCTCACATCGTGCCCACCAGCAGCACAACTTTTGGCAAGGTATGGCACAACTGAAGGGTTGGATGGACCACGAGCTTTTCTTGAAGTTGAGGAACGACTTTTGGACTGGATGGGAAATGTGGTAAGGTTCATTGAATAGATGAGACTTAACGTAAACACAAGTGTTCGACTCACCAGGCACAATTACTTTTGGGCTGTACCCACCCCAAGAGCTTTTTATGACGAACAATCATTGTCCTACAGGCTACCTTGTCTGTTAAACTTTTTAAACTGCAAACATTTTGATCCTTTGTCTAAACAAAACTGTCACATTAAGCACTTTGCCCAGCTGATATATTTTCCTAAATAATACATCTCTCGGAATTTATGGCCATTCTTTCTTTTTTATTATTGCTTTTTCATGTTCGTGGCACTTCATGACTACATATACATTTCAACTGTTCTCCTTTTATTGTCAGCGCTTTCTTTCATAAATTTTTGTATTACGTTCTGCAATGTTATACGTATAAGTTTATTTGGTATTCTTTATGCATGATTGTCTGCCATTCCTGCTGCTTTGCTAACTTGTAAATGGGGTGGGGACCTCGTCAAGCTCTTGAGCTTTTACTCCTGTACTCCTCCTAATCAAAAGGAAATGAAATGATTTATTGATTGATTGATAGCATATCTGACTGTCAGTGCACAAAGAACTTGTGGTGAATGATCAAAGCTGACATATTGAACATTGCCTTGCAGACTTTTACAGCGGAAATTATGTACATACCATTGTCCATTGTCAACGTGACTCCGAAGTTTTTTCTTATGCCTCAGTTCCATGACATATTCCCTCCGTTACTAGAAAATACTGTGAGTACCTAAATTAGTACTAATGTTAAGCACTTTACACTCAACATCCACTGCAGTGTTTCATAGTGGCAGTGCTGCTCCGCTCGTGCACATAGAATTGTGAGCTTGGCTGCCAGCTGCAATGTTTATATTTTGATGAAGGTAGAATGCAGGAACATTTGTGTGCAGAATAGTAGGTGCACATGAGAAAATTAGTAGCAGCCACCATTAATGCTGAGCCCTCCACAGCCGGACTATTGTAGGTCAACCCTTCATTGTTTTGAAGTGTCAAGCTCCACCCTCACTGAAATGGGATCTAGCTGCTTTGTATTTTTATATGGTCAAGCTTTGATGTAACGAACAAGCACACAGGATTTTTTCAGTAAAATCAACTAAATGCTTCTCTGTAATGCTGACATGCAACAACCCATTTTGATAGCATAGCCTGCCAGGTGTCGCACTGCTAAGCTCAAGGCCACAGCTTCACTTCCTGGTCAAAACAGCCACATTTCGATGGGGGTGAACTGACAAGTACACCTGTGCGCTTTTCAACATAACTGTGCAGCAATGTTTACTACATTTAGTAGACGAAATGGCAGTCATAAACAGAAGGCTGTTTTTTAATGCAACGACTGATACTGAAATAACTTTGGGCACCTGATATTTCTTTTGAGTTCTGACTTTTTTTTGCAGGTTTCATTTGTTTCACAATAATGTTTCACAGCTCCTAAAAAATGGCACGAAGGGGAAGATGGAAGCTTGTGATGAAAAAATCTTTAAAACAGGGGCTCGAGCATATGAGCCTTCTTTACGGATTTTTTCCATATGTACAGCTCGTACTTTATGCTGTCAAACCCTTTGTCCCTGTCTGTTATGCATTAACTGGTGGTCTGCTTTCTTTCTTCATGGCAAAAACAAATATGGAAGCGCACTGGTCAAGTAGGCACAACCCTTGAAGCTTCAAGTTTCTCTAGAAGCTTGCAAATAGGCCTGAAGGTGAGATTGACAGTCAAATTAAGTTATTGATTGCATGGCTAGTTTGTAATAAAATACACTGCCTTATTTGCAGTCACTCATAGGAAACTTGAACTCTATATTTGAAGTTGTCTGTGTTAGAGAAGAGACATTTTCTCTTGGATCACTATCTCACATTGTTGGAGAAGAGTTGTCCCGGCTTTCAAGGGGGCATAGAAAGGTGAGCTTTTTTTTTTCATATTTCTGAGAGTACTATAAATGTGGCAACAAACTTACATCAGTTTCTCAAATTTACTCGGCATAAATAATATGCGCAACAACAGAGAAGTAATATGCACACGATTAGGGCATCAAGATTAGTTTTTCAACACCCTAACAAGCTAATTTTGACACACAACTATGTAACTGTACTATCCACTACTTCATCATCAACAGCAGCTTAGTCTCAGAGAAACTTAATTTTTTTGTAAGTGCATGTAAAATGTAGAAATAGGCTTCTTAGCATGAAATATGTTGCATTTTACTTGAGCAAATCTGACAGCCATAAGCTTGACTTAAAACTGATAATTATTTTTTAATAAAGATTGCCTAGAATTTTAAAATTGTTTAAAACAATGTTTACATATCTATAATGCTTCATTAAAAGCAGATATTACAGTTTCATGAATTTTATTTGTTAGAGCATCTCTACAGGTGAACCTTGGTACAATAAAATTGACAGATTCCCGGAAAATTTGTTATAAAGAGGATTTTGTTATATGCAAGTTCAGTACAAAAATTCGAAAAATAAATGCGCATATTAAACAAAAAAGGAACTGAAGGCAGAGCTCACCCGAAACACTTATTTACTAAAAAACTGCGTTATTACGATGGCAATTATACAGACACTTTCGGCGGGTTTTTGCCATCGCCACCATGTTCCTTAACAAGTCCAAATTGATAACATGCCCCCGTGAACCGTACTTTTATGAGTGGTTAAAAAGCACGTGAGCGCTGCGGAAGCAGCTGAAATCAAATGAGCCGGTCCATCTCTATCTCCTCGAGGACGCATACCATAACATACCCCCTCGTGTTACAAATGCGCACGAATGCTGAAATAGAAGGGGAACCATCCGTCTTGAACGGACATGAAAAAATTGGCCCGAATTTACATGTTACACTGTAAATGCCGTCGAAAGACGATAGTCTTGCGTCTGGAGAGAGTGAACAAAACGTTTATTTGATGTTCTGCGCAAGAAAATCAGTGAATGGTATTCTGAAGGCGCTGCGTTAGAGTGCCTTGAGCGTGTAACGGTGGCGAACAAGCGCATCTAGGCAGGTTAGACACAAGCACCATCTGGCAGTTATTTTTTGAAAACGAAGGCGTGTGCGACCGCGGAGAAAGATGCGCGCCAGTCTCCGAGGTGATAAGGTGTAGAATGCACAGCGACGGGCAGGTGCCACCACCTTGCCATCGTAGCAAAGCGTTGTAAACACCTTATTGAGCATCGCGTTGCACTGTCAGCGCAGCACGTTAAACGCTACAGTCCTTAGAGTCACTTGTGTGTGCCTCTTCTAGTATAAAGGCAGACATACAAAACATAGACGTGTTGTTATGGCGCCTCAGATATGCTCAATATTTGCTTTTTTAATTGACAATCGCAGAACTATGAACGCTAAACCTTGAGCAATATTGGTGGGCGCTGCGGATGGGGTTGGCCGTTTGAGGCATCGTTAGGGCGGATAGACAAATGTACGGACAGACAGATCAAAATTTTCTCGCCGAAGGTCCCCAAGAAAGACTATTGTCTTTAAAAAAAACGGGGGGGGGGGGGGGGGGGTCGCTGGAGTAGCAACAGTGAACTTTTGAAGGGCGTGAGCGCGATCGCTGCACACGGGCTATCTCAGCAAGCATCAGCGCGCTTTCAACGCTAGGAGACTGTGAAAAGAGCACTTCTTCCTAGAGCGGCCGTACGTGCTTACAGCAGCGTTTTGTAGGAGTTCCACGATATGGGATACAAAAGAGATGGCTCCCAGTGTTTGTATAACATTACAATTTGTTGCAATCGCATTCATTGCATTGAATTGAGCGTGCCGTCGTGTTGTTGCCAGAGCTAATCGCGCAGGCTACGTTCCCACGCCGCAAGACGGAAGCGCGTGACTTGTTGACCTCCGAAAGTCCGTGGTTGTCACCGTGGTCTCAAAGAGTTTCCACCAGTGGCGAATCTCGCCAGCTGTCCACATTTAGAAGAAATAAAAAGCAAAGCTGAACGTCGTCGGGGGCAGTGAAACCATGCACGCGCGCATGGCATTGAAAACGAAGAGCAACGACATGGTTAACGGGGAAAACTTTTTGGTAAAGTGCCCTCCGTATGCAGCACGGCCCCATATATGCGACGCTGACTAAAAGCAAGGCACTGTCAATGCAAAAGTAGTTTTATCATTTTTTTTGTCGTTTGTTTGGAGGGAGAGAGAGTGCATGTGCCCGTGGCAGTAAGAACGGCGGCAACGCCGGCTTCTGGGGCGCAAGCTCGCCTCGCATACACCAGCGCGTCATAATGTGCGAGTCGCCAGGGCCACGAGCATGCCGTGCGCACTGCCCCCGTTTCGCGCATCTTCGGCGGCAGGGCAACCGTGGAAAATGCATGCCCGTGCCAAAATTACAAAATCCTGGCCAGAATTCCCGATTGTCCGTGGCGTAAATTCGTTATATCAAGGATGTATACCACTGTTCCTTTGTTACATAGAGGTCGCAAATCTATGTGCTTCTATGAGGTAACGCCGAGGAATAGAAAAACTTCGTTATATCGAGTAATTATTTATATGGAAGTTCATTATAAGCAAGTTTAACTTGTTGAATAAATGTGATGATATGCAAGTTTACAGCTTACTTAAAATTTTTATGCATACAACAGTTATGCATAAGTCCTACTCACAAATTAGTGGTATGTGCTTCATATTGGCCTGCCATAAATTGAAATTGTCCACCTTAGATGTCATGTTTGATGAAACCAAAATGATGTATTGCTTTAATTATGGGTGTGAAATAATTGAGCCTTGCTCTTATTTGAAACTTAATAAACATTTTCTAAAGGCATTTGTGGGGAAAATTGGATATCCACTCTCTACAATCATTCTGTTTTATTTTTTTCCTTTCAAATGTAACAAATATAATCAAGATCAGTGCAGTAGCAGCGGAGAAAAGTGGTTTCTCTATTCCCGTGCAGAGATTTAAATAGGAGCTATTTTTTTTCAAGTTTCAAGTTTTATTATTTCCAAAAACAAGGTACAAAATCTAAGATATACAGACGAGGGTCCCAGAGCCAGAGACTTTAGTGGGACTCTCGGTTTGTCGATGCAAATCGACGGTAAAATTTATACAGAGCAACAGAAAATTCTTATAATATACAGACATCAAAATGCACTTTCATATCACAAATCAAGCCAAAACACGCAACATGGTATAAAAAAAAAGAACAAACGAGTCAAACAGCTAAACGATCACAAGTAAGGCTATTCGAGAAAATGATTTCTGACGGACTTTTTGAACAAAGGAATTGAAGTGCAATGCTTAACGCTAGAAGGTAACGCATTCCAAAAGAATATCGCACTGAAAACGGAAGTTTTTTGCCCATAATTAGTATGAGCGGGGGGTAACAGGAAATTTTTATCAGCCGCAAACCTGGTCACATTATTATTTTGCAAAAGATCAGATGTAATAAATGGGAATGCGAGTTGATTATACAGCAGTTTGTGGAATAAGGTCACAAGATTTAACCGGAATAAAAGATTTACTCGCAAGATATTGTAAGAGCGTAGTAATGTGTAGGCGTTGGATTGCGAAGAACTAGAAGTGACAATGTGGATTGACTGATTTTGAATGTGCTGTATTGATGATAAATGACAAGCATAAGTGTTGCCCCATGAGACTACACCGTAGGTAATATGACTATGAATGAACGCAAAATACAGCGCCAGTAGAGCTTCACGGGAAAAGAAGCTCTTAAAGGGCCCATGACAGGGTTGGGAATTGCAGAAAAAAAAGTGTAGCATGTAGATCGTGGCAATTTCGTCTGCAAAGTATGACACCAATTACGTAGCATGATGATGTTATATGTGCCCTCCCTCTCAGGAGAGAGACACTTTCAGAAAGAGAGTGCCTTCGTAACAAGCACCTGTTTACGGAATTGCTCTTTGGAACGTCATTGACTATAGCCAGTTTTTATTCAATCAAAAGCAGGAAGAGAAAAAGAAAAAGGAGGAGTCGCTGATCATTACGATACTTGCTAATGTTAAATCAAAAGAGCTGGATTCTGATGTCAGTGGTGCCATGCCTATGCTCAAGCAGCTCCTTTGTGTCCCTGAAGAAGCACTTCCACTGGTTATATTGCTCATTGTTCAGAAAGGAAGTGTGCCCATCTATTTTTCCTAATAAAACTCCTCCTTGTTCTCTTCTTCCTCTGCTATCCCTCTGGCACTTTCGTCCCAATCAGTCTTTCATCCTCCGCTTCTCTCTTCCGCGGTACCTTTCTCCACTTTCCTTTTCTCACTTTTTTGATACCAACAAATAGTCAATCTCCGCTGCACTCAGCATTTGCTCTCTTTCATTCTCCCCGTGCTAGTTATTCACTCAGTTGTGCTGACGAAAACAACGTGAAACCTACGAATGGGCACTTGAGTGCTTCATTCTTATATAGACGGGCTCTTTGTGGGAACATGACGCACTTGCTCATTTTCATGAGTTTGGGTACTGAACAATTGTGTACACAGGCCAAGGCAAAGTGAGGGGGAATTGTTTTGACACTGGAGCTTACTCCTAGAGACATGACTGAAGTTCAGCCTAATTTTTTCTAACTTCTGCAACAATGAACCAATTTGAAAAATTATCTCAGTGAGATCTTCCTAAGCATGTGCCCTGCAACTTTCAGTGTGTAATAAAAATTTGCTATGTGGCCTGGTATGAAGACTTATAATTGAGTCAACTCTTGAATATAAAACATATAATACATTGTTTATCAAAGACTGTGTTCTAGATTTATACAATGCTTATCTTACTATGTATTTATTTTTGACATTAGGACATTGTAAGCCTCAATTATGTCAAGTATTGCTTGCGCTAGTAATAGAACCTGAAGCACATCGTTCAGCACAATCCTGAAAATTCAAGCTGCTTCTTTGTCTAACTATGCCCCTAAATTGAGGGCTGTATTTTCCTTCCGTTAAAAGGGAACGTTAATGCGGAAAATTTTCGAGAAATAAAAAAAACACGTGCTTATTCTGTCTAAGCTTGAAAAAATTACAACAAGAAGTGAAAAGTTATTATGTTGTAAGACCCATGTTTTAAATTTGTTGGTTACATGACCAGTCAGAGATATTTGCAGCAGTATGGTAATATTTCACATGGCTGCCAATTTATTATCACTAGATGGTCTTTCCTTGCAAAACATGCTACTTTTTACTTGAACTGTGTTGGTGTTTTCAATGGTGAAGTTGGTAGGAGTGTTGGCACCAGGACGTGAAGGTAGGTCACAAATTTTTTGCTTCGACCTAGGTGCCCTCCTTTCTGTAGGCCTTTGTTTTGTTTTGTTTTTGGCATGGCTGCGTAACGATGGCCATTGCAAGGGAACTACCGCAGCAGTGGCTTGGAAGGGCTGAAGTGCCATCACTGTAAAATCAAATATTCTGTGAAAGTTAAAACAGGTCCTAGTGTGAAAGTTAAAACAGGTCCTAGATGTAGGTGATATTTTGTCGGAAATGTCATGTGATCTAGCTTCGAGATTGCTGATACTTTATAATAGAGGTAAGCAGTGTAAGACAGGCATGCATCAAAAAGGCAGCCATGACTTTGCATGATAGATTCTGTCCAACACTCATTGGTTTGAGTCACTTTTTAGTGCATCCATTCAGGTGTAGAATATGTCGAACTTGTGACCAGAGGTACTGGCAGCTTCACAGATATTTTTGCACCTCGAAGAAGACTTCAGAGCTTCACCGAATAGCCCCATTTATGGCCTTTTTATCACCTCCCACTGAACACTCTGACACCCAAATCTGAGTCTCTCACCCTTTTGTAAGTTCTCAGTGAATCAGTTGTTGTTTGAGCAATCTTTGCTACAGATTCACTGCTCAAGGTCACCCTGTATTCTGATAGTAGTTTGTTAAAGGTAACACATATTTTATTAAACGAAATTAAGAGCCTATGCATCGTTTGGCTCAGTGCTACATCTGCTGTATAACTGTGACATGTGAGAGTGCCATATAATGTTATTAGCACTCTGAATCATTACATTTTCCTTTTTTTCTCTTCACCTCAGTCGGCAAAGTCTAAGGTGTCTCTTTTACTTCTGGATCGTACATTGGACATGGTTGGATCACTTACTGCTTCTTGCGAGTCTTCGATGGACACTCTAGTTAGAGTGCTCCCTCCACTTCCTGGTCACAGTTTGGACGTGTGCATTGACATGCGCTGCATCTCCTCTTCATCTGAGTGAGTGTTTTGCACCATTCAAATACCGTGTGATAAGGTAGTGGTGTCTGCATTTGGGGGTAAAAAAATGGGGAAGAGCAAGGCTAAAGCCAGGATACGTCCTCATTTTATGCATGATATAGACAGAGGCAGGAGAAATAAACTGTCTACAAACCATGGCCCACTTTCATAGTGAGTACTTCTAGGAAAGATTTTATGCCTCTGCCTATTATGCGCACAGCCCAATCTGCAGCGAATGTTCTTTGCAAGCTAAAGCTATAGTCTACTATGAGCCAGCAGGAGCATACTGGACATGTATGTACTCCCCCTCTCCTTCACATTTTTTAAATGCGAAGCAGCTCTTTGACTAGCCTGTGTAACACTATCTCGTGCATCCACACAAACCACACACCGCGGGTGTTGGAGCGATGCTAAGTAGCTGAAGTCGCAGTTGCACATTGACGTCACTCTTTCTCTTACCCGCAGAAACTGCTGGGTTCTCCGCCCGCTCGCAACACACTTCTCTCTCGCTTCACCCTCTCCACTGCCCGCAACAAAAGTGTTTCCACACGTCGAGTGGAAACACTAGACAAATTTAGTTGCAGATCCGCAGCAGCTACACGAACGCGACCTATCATTCTAAATGGCTAGCAGGCTGCGTCCTTACAGCTGCTGTGGTCGCATGACTAAATCTGTCTACCCTTTCGGCTTGTTTATCTGCGATGAAACTTACACGAAATCCAACCTGCCTCCCGTGTCTTTGCGTTTTAAACATGCGTTTACTTGAGTAAACGCTACACCGAGTTTAGCTTCAAACCGTTCTTCCAGCACCCGCATCGACGCCTGTTTCAACCGGGTCAACGCCGTGCGTACAGCTGCTGCTTCACATCCCATCAGGGTTCCCTTTGGGGAGATGGTCTGTTTTTGTGTACCTGCATGCTTGCTACAAAACATGTGACAAGACCTTCCTCACCTCCCGTCTGTGCCACTGCACTCCAGTATACCTTTCTCAAAATTCAGTGTCTTTTTGTATGAAACACCTCCCATCTGAAGTCAATACCTTGAGTTGCAGGTTTACTGCTAAAGAAGACTCATTAGCTCAATCAATGAGGACGAAGTGAGCTTTACATAATAGTGCCAGTTCTTGTGGTAGAAGTAAAGTGTGGAATTGGGCTAGTTGGTAATCTATTATTAAACTTCTCAGCACAAGAACTTTGACGAAAAATGAGAGCTGAGGCTAACACAAATTGAGCACAGCAGCACTCATGCTGTATTTTTCCCAGTCCTCACTTTCCTTGCTGTTACCTTTATGAGATGCATTGTGAACTAGTCTGTTGTTGCATCATTTTGTAAGGTCACATTACTAAATGAGTTCTCACTAGCAACAGTGTTTTCCAATGCCGCCAAGTCTTGTGAAAAAAAAAATGAAGTATTTCTTTTTTTAAACAGAAGTGTGCACTTCGAGAGATCATCTTCAAGTGTTAAAAACAAGAATTGGGCCATATGGGCACAAATTATATACAATTAAACCTGAGTATAATGAAGTTACACATGAAGTGAAAAAGTTCATTAGTGTATATCGCAAACTTGGTTGCAGAGATTTCCATCTTTCAATTGTGCTGTGATAGTGTTACACGTACCTAAACTTTTCCTGTACCACTACATATTGTGTACATGCATTTGTGGAGGTGTTACTAGCAATTGTACAAGCAACACTGAAGAAAATTAACAATGACTAGCATTGAAGCAGAAAAAGTATTGGGAGCTTTGCAGGATACTGCAGCAGATGCTAAGAAGCCTGGAAATGGTCAACAAATGAAATAGATGTTCGGGACATTGAAACAACTCACGATCCGTTTGTATGTCTATATACATGTGGAGCACCATGGAGAAAGTTCTCATATTTTGTAGTTGATTAAATTTGTCCAAGTTTGCTTTTTTTTTAATAACCCACAGTGTTCCTTGCATATGTCATTGATCAACCACCATTTTACGCTGCCTACCGGTGTAGTGGCTGCCATCAAAAGCAGCCCCAAGCAAAATATGCGTTCACTTGCATGTAAATGTTTTGTACCTGCTGCATAATGCTCCTCTGCTCTCTTGTTTTTGCACGAATCATCCAGTTCAGCAGCAGCATTGATGTTTCATTGTTCGGAAGAGTAAAAAATGTGTGAGAGACAAATAAAAAGGCAAACAAAGTAATTTTTAAGTTCCATATTGTCACGCAGCAAAGGACGACGCAGTTGTCTATGAGGAAAACAAGTTTATTGGAGCGAACTTATGCTCCCCTAACAACTGAAAAAATACACAGGCGGCGAAGCAGCGGCCAGCAGAACGACGGGCTCGCTAGTGAGCGTCGGCGATCGAATGACACGGCATCGGCTGTGCGGGAATTTATATCCCTCGGCGCGAGGGTTTCTCGAATAGTCGAATTGTATCGAGAACGCCGTGATAGCGTTTGTTAGAAACGCTGTTCGTTCGAACAGTGCTTCTAATGAACAACGCTTGAAGCGTTGTTTCTATCGAACAACGCCTGAAGCGTTGTTCGATAGCGTTTGTTCGAAACGCTGTGGTAGCGTTTGTTCGAAACCTGTGAAAACGGCAATAGCACAGGCCGGCGCAGCCAGGCCGAAAAAACAAAACACAAATAAACAAACCCAATGCATGGTTCGCGGCATTACCCCCCCTCTAAGAGTGCATCGACCCAATGCTAACATAAGGGACAGTCCACACAAATTAAAAGTTCGTCATCGTCCGTAGAAAGGTTTTAAGCGAACCACATGGACGACTTCGGGCCGCGTGCGTCGTCGTGATGTACGGGAGTCCCCATCGGGGATCACTTCGTACGTTAGTTCGCCAACACGTCATAGAATCTGGTAGGGTCCGAAATAGCGTCGTAGAAGTTTCTCACTGAGTCCACGTCACCGCAGCCGTGGCCTCGTGGTTGAGTGTCCGCTTCGGCTGCGGGAGGTCGTGGGTTCAAACCCGCGTTACCGCCGGTCACCCACCGGTTTTCCAAATGGGCACAGGTGCCCCCCGGCCTGACACTAAGCTTCTTCAGGGGTGAAACGTCTGGGAAAGGCAGCCTGCGCCATTCAAATCCCGTCAAAACATGTGAGCAACCACTGACCTGCAAAGGGAGGAAGAGCTGATGAGTAAAAAAGTCGCTAAGTTAAATCACTACGACGTTCCGCGCTCAGTCGCTGTTGTTTACAAAGAAACCTCGAGAGACCGGTGTTCTACACCGCGTACAAAACTCAGTACCGTGCACCGCACGCCTCACTCACCAACGATTTCGAGCTGCACGTTGCGTGGTTATCGCCCACAGATTGCGTAACTGGCTCCTATCGCAACATGGTCGATGTGCATGACGGGTGGCACATCGGTGGGTTCTCTGTCGACGTACCCCGCACCTCCACCAGATGTCACGCAGCAAAGGACGGCGCAGTTGTCTATGAGGAAAACAAGTTTATTGGAGCGAACCTGTGCTCCCCTAACAACTGAAAAAATACACAGGCGACGAAGCAGCGGCCAGCAAAACGATGGGCACGCTAGTGAGCGTCGGCGATCGAATGACGCGGCATCGGCTGTGCGGGAATTTATATCCCTCGGCGCGAGGGTTTCTCGAATAGTCGAATTGTATCGAGAACGCCGTGATAGCGTTTGTTAGAAACGCTGTTCGTTCGAACATCGCTTCTAACGAACAACGCCTGAAGCGTTGTTTCTATCGAATAATAATAATAATACTACCGGGTTGTTATCTCCCAAAACCATGATATGATTACGAGAGAGGCCATAGGGAAGGGCTCCGGAAAATTTTACCATCTGGTGTTCTTTAGCGTGCACTGGCATTACACACTGCACGAGCCTCTACCATTTCGCCTTAATCGAAATGTGACCGCCACAGCCGGGATCCAACCCGCTACCTTCGGGTCAGTAGCTGAGCACCCTAGCCACTGTTCCACCGAGAGGTACAAAACTCAAATGTAATACGTTTCATGCTAAAAACACATTGCAGTCCATTATTCAAAAGGTAACTCTGGAAGTGGCACCTTGAAAAAACATTTTTGATTTGTTACACATTACCAATTCATGCTTTGAATTGTGCACTTCATGTTTTCTTATTTGCAGTGAGATCATGCCCTCAGAGGGTGCAATCTACCCTGGTTGTTTGGCTCATGAAAACTCAAAGTTGGCACTCCAGCATATCGTCAACTGCAAGCAGAAGGCAAGAAAGCTTTTTTAATTGGTTTGTTTACTTGACAGAATTGCTAGTTAGGCAGCTTGCTATAAACGTAAAGAATAGTAGACATAAACATGTGTTTGAAAAATTACGCTGTGAAATATAAAGGAAAGTTTCGTACATTATTTTTTTTAAATGCTGCAAGTGCTGTCCGTGTGCATAATAATGGTTATTGTTTGTGCAGAATTTGTAGCTATCTGAGCTGTCGGTGAAATCATTGAGCAAGCACACTAGGTAGGCAAAATGCCCCCCCCCTCCCCCCCTAATCGTTTAAGGGGGATACCAAATCTACCCCATGCCTTTTTCTGTTTAAGCATGGCCCATTATTTTTTAAAGTGCAACTTGCCCAGTTAGCCATTCTTTGAAAGTGCAATTTCTTACCCACCTTCTTTTTAAACAGTTGAAGTTTTTGACAATACAGGCAGCTGAGGACGTCTAGCGTACGATTCCCAGCGCTGTTTACTTCACACCTCTACACCCAGAAAGCACTTCTATTTTTTCATTTAATATTGCAAAGCTTGTTTTCTTTTGGACTTGACCAGTGGAGGATCTGATGAAAAACCTTGTGCATGCCTATTTTGATAGCAACCCTTGCTTCTCTTTAAAGAGAGAAAACATTGCTTTAGCAAAAGATTATTTCCATAATTAAAAAAAGAACTAGTTGTACTAAAATAGCATAAGTCTAATTGGATAGTTGTGTTGTAAATAGTAGTTTGGTTCATTTCTTTGCCAGGCTTTGTTAGCTTACAAATTAAAATAATGTATATTATTATGCCATGGTTCTTGCTTTTGTTTTAGAGATAATATTTCAAATTGTTACTATGGAGCTATTTAGAGCTTGCTGTTATCCTTGCTACTGAGCAGACTTAATTGGTTCATTCTGAGATTTTTTTTCCTAGCATTTGCCAAAGGCACTAAGTTCTTTTTTCTTTAGATTTTTTTTCTGTATGAAAGTAAACTGTTTTGGAACTCAGTATGGATACTTTATGACCAGATAAACCTGAAACTATTGCGTATTCAACTAGTAAGAGTGTATATTAATAAAATGAATGTATTAAAATGCTTATTTATGGTGCAGTTGTATCAGGCAGTTCTTTGTTTATATGGTCGTTATGAGTAAAGAACAAGCTCTTGTGCACATGAATAAAGGAAGCTGTTCCTGAGGTCTGAATTTATTACAGTAGACCATATGAGTGTTATGGTTTTCTCTGTTGTTTTCCAATGTGGATCTTGAAATTATACCACACAGGTTATATTAATTTAACCATATATGTTAAAGAGAATCATGTTCAACAAAGCTTTCTTTCAAAATTAAAAAAAAAATTATTTAATAGTATAAGAATCCTTCACCATAATCCTAAAACTGGTGTCTGGCTTCTGGTGTTTAGCAGCATTTTTGGCATTTAATCGCACATTTGCATTATTGATGGCACACTTTTATTTATTTATTTTTAATACCTGGACATTTCTGCATCACAAAAAAGCATTGCAGATCCTATAGGCGAATTTCTCTGCCCACATGTCCGTGCCTGATGTTCACAAAGCAGAAGTTTATGCCAGAACATATGGGACAACTGCTTTTCAATACAAAAGCAGGCAAAGCTGTAGTGTTAAACCTGGTATAGGGTTATGCCAACTAGGTACTGTAAACAACATCCGGGTGCATTGCCAGAATTAAATGCCACAGTAGCATATTAACGGCTGGAAGGGGAGGTAGAAGCTTGCAATGAAAAAAAATTCGTAAACAGAGTTTGTGTGCTCGAGCCTCACAACCTCTGTTTATGGATTATTTCATTGCAGTAGCATAGTGGCCATTGAATATGGCTGCTGTTGATGTTCATGTTTTCAGGCGTGTAGCTGCATATTTGTGGGGCTTCTTGGTGTATACGTATTTTCTCGTGTATCACCCAAACCCTCAACAACAATTCCCGAAAAAAAAAAAAAAGAAAACTCTAAATACGATTTCTGCATAGCTATCTTTTTTGCATAGCTGTGAAACACTACCGTGAAGCCACTGCTGCAAACTGGAATTTGCTTTCTTTTTACTTTAGCTCCAAACTTTAAAAAAAAATTTTAAATATGACTTGTGCATAGCCAATTTTTTTGCACAGCTGTGAAGCACTACCGTGGAGCCACCTTTGCAAACTCGAACTTGCGGGGTTTTTTTGTCTTGCTTGTTTTTTTTCTTTAGCTCCAAATTTTTGAAAAAATCTAAATATGATTTCCATAGATCAATCTTTGCAAATTGGGGTTTGCATTTTATTTTTGGCCTTAGCTCTAAGTAAAAAAATTCTAAGTAGGATTCTTGCATAGCTAGCTTCTTTGCATAGCTATGAAGCACTGACGTGGAGCCACCTTTACAGACATTTGCATTTTTTAGTTTTGATTTTAGCTTCGAAGTTTTCCATTTTTTTCTGCAGGTTATGCACAAGAAAATACATATGCACTATAGACATGAGATTGAAAGAGTTAATTCAGAACAATTTAGTACCGCATTCCTCCCAAACTAGGTTCAGCTTTGGATTAAGAGTGAGCTACAAGTCTTCACTCATTTGTGCTCAGAGTATTGCAAACTTATGGTTCTGTACAGAAGCATTCATATCCAGGATTGAGCCTGTTTTTAGTTGGAACTCTTGGAAGCACTAAAATAAAAGAGCACATTTTGTAGGCGAATCCCGGCTGCGGCGGCTGCATTTTCGATGGAGGCGGAAATGTTGTAGGCCCATGTGCTCAGATTTGGGTGCACATTAAAGAATCCCAGGTGGTCGAAATTTCCGGAGCCCTCCACTACGGCGTCTCTCATAATCATATGGTGGTTTTGGGATGTTAAACCCCACATATCAATCAATCAATCAATCAATCAATCAATATTCGAGGTTCCCAAAAACACTCGAGCCAAATATAGCGTAGCATGTGGCCTGGAATATGCAATAAATTTTCAAAGTAATCTAAATATCGCCTTTGCTTGTTTTGATAAATGATGCTATATACTAAAAGTCATTGCATCATAGGTCCAAGTATCATGTCATTGGCTGATTTGAGCATGGCGCACTCGGGAGTTGCTGGGACCGCTATGGGAGGCCCACGATGTGTAGGCATGTGTATGTGTGATCGCATTCAAAAACCACATGTTCAAAGAATAAAAAAATTGAGAAAAAGTGCTCAAGTTCACGAAACACGCGTGACATGCCTTCTTCCCCCGTGCCATCCCTCTCTGCTTAACTTCCAGCATTTTCATCAGGACGAGAGAAGAGAGAGCAATAGCAGCATGCGACAAATCTTTTTTTTTTTTTTTTTTACTCTGCTCATACTGAACGCATTTGAAAAATTAAATTTTTGAGGCAGTCAATTTGCATGGAAGTAAGCTCCTTTAGTGAATTCATTCCATGTCTACAAAGTGTTTCAGAGCCCCTTTAACATCCTACTTATTACAACCATGTATTTTTACATTTTTCCATACACACCATAGGGAATGCTAATGCCATAAGCCCTGTCAGTCATGACAGGTCAAAGCTGTATGTTTACAAACAGACTTGTGCTTGTTTTTTTAATTCTTAAAAAAAACTGTTTCAAAGGCAAGTTGCTCATCTGGTTTGAACTAGCAATCATTTTAGTACAAAAGGCATGCCATTCTTAACGCCCGTGTGAAGGTTTTGCTGCTTTCTAAAGCACGCAAAAAGGAGGCTGCTTCTCAGATAAGTATTTTCAATTATTGCTGCGGCATGTTCTTCAAAGAACTTTTTATTTTTTGTCTTTGGACCTCCGCTCAATAGGAATGCATGATGGAGCTGAATCGACTCATCGTGGAAGCAGCTCTCAAACAAGGAGTGCGCTTGGATGTCACTGGTCGTCTAACAGCAGAGCAACTCAGAAACAGAATTATTCAATTCAGGTAAAAAAAAAAAACAATTAAGTGTGAAACTTCATCCTTGCTATTGGGTAAGGTGTCCCTTTTTCGTGAGCTTAATGACGTTTTAAAGAAACTTGCCTTAATATTGGACTTTGTTGCCTCACGAATATCCTACTGCAAAAAACCGTACAGGCAAGTTACCGTACAAGCAATGCGCTTTTACGCTCTTTTCATCGCGATGAGCATGCTGGAAGCTGTTGCAGAAGGGGGAGCAGCAGTGTGATGCTCATTGCCATTCCCTCCACATTGCAAAGGAATTTGTTTTTTACTGTTTTTGATGGGAAATCGTCAATTTCCTTCTGTATCCAGTGCAACACTATTTGACAATCACGCTCACAGCAGCCTTGATGACGGTCAGAAATGTTTTTAAAAGAATACATGCAAAAAAAATTTGCAGTACCCCTTTGAAACCTAGTGGCAGAACTTCCCAGTAACATGAGTTCATGTGGGACTGTTGATAATACCTCTGTAAATTTGACGCTAACCACATCATGCAGGAAAAAAAGCCTTCCAATTGTAAATATGAATACCACTATGATTTCTCACCTTATAATACTAATGGTCTTCAAAAGTTTAAAAAAAGAAAGAGTATTGAATCTTAAGGTGATTCCTGTGATGTTCATGTTCTTGACTCACTATCACTTCATTTATTAGGTAAGTCACACATGTGATTGACCTGATAAACACACATTGCACCCTACCTTGTGTAAGAGAGGTAAAACATGAAGAAAATAAGTGTACATTTAAGGACTTGTCTTTTTTTCTTTTTTTTTGACAGAATAATAATGAGAACAAACAGACAATATAGCCAAGGAAAGTATAGGGGGTATTATTAGAAGTAGTTGTAATGTAAAATCCAAAAAAAATAAATGTCGGCAGCAACTGAACTTGCGACCTTCAAATAACGCATCCGATGCCATCTGTCAAGTCAGCATGCCAGATGCGCAGCGCTGTCAAGATGAAGAATGCACAGTAAAGCTGCAGATTCACTGCTGAACATGTAGTATTATCTTATGCTTGTTGACTCAAAATTAGGGGTGTGTGAATGTGTGCAAATTTCAAATAATGAGTTGAATATTCTGATTTGAGTCAGTATTCAAACAGAATACAATTCGTTAGCAGAAGTCTACATATTTTGATCTGCAGTCAATACCTGTCGGTATTGACTGCAGACTGGCCTTCTATATAGGCTTAGAGATGGCTCGACTGGCCTATCCTGTATTCTCGGTGCCTGTTTGCTAGGAGTTGTCAGGCCATATGCAACATCCAGTTCTCCAAAGTGGGTGTCTAGATAAGCTTGAAATCGAAATTCGCACCTGTGTACTGCACGGTTTCTCCTGCACCTGAGTAAATAATCAGCAAAGGAAAAGTGGAACAATGTAAATGCAACCATTGCAGTTAACTCTTGAGACAGGCTGACAGTTCACTGTCACATTGCTTTTCAGGAAAGGTGGTGGGGATGCCGTCATCAACAAGGGCCTGATGCAGCAGACCTTGGCAGTTGCTCAGGCAGCACTGGGAGAGAGACACTCAAAGCTCGAAGATCTTCTTAGCACAGAGAAGGTGATTGTCCAAAATGCGGGTGTCTCCTCAGAAGCTGCTTCACGGAGCTTGGTGCAGCTCCTTCAAAACAGAAATGCAACGTGAGTAGAGAGTGCTGTCAACTGGCTTACTTTCCCAACAGAGTTCTTTTACTATAATGTGGCTTATGCTACTGCTTATCTCTGTTTGTTTGTTTTTACACTATACTTCAGGTATTCAAAAAAAGTATGATGTTATATTTGGAAATGTAGAATATATGGCACTATTATAGTATGATCTCCATGAGGCCCTCATATAGCAGGCTCTGACAAAGATGTTTTCTCTTTGTCAAAACGTGGACATTGCAGTTAGGTTTTCCTTGTCTGACAGTCGCTGATCACAGCACCTTCCCCTCATCTTCTTTCTTGGTATGCTTACTATTCATACACCTTCATGGTATGCCTATTCAAATCTGCTTAAATTATATATACCTGAGGAACACTTATGCAACGGTTGTGCAGACCACCCCTGGGAACTGACTAACTAAAGACAAAACAGGTGGCCCTTGTGCTAATAATGTTTTTTGAAGGCAAGAAAGGTAGTTGAAAAGCAAATTAGGTATCAGTGTCATGTCAGCACGCTAAATTCATATCACACACAGGATCTTGTGCCGAAAGGGCTCCGCATCAACGTGGAATCAGCCACCTCAGACATGTCCACAGAGCTAAAAAATAGGGGGGCAGAGTGCCTTCATGGAGCATTTAGAGAGCTTTTAAATATGGTGATTGATCATAATAACTTTGAACCAGAATACCTGCTTTTCTAAGAAAAAAAATTTACCAAGAAATAATATTTGACGGCCTCTGAAATCAATCTTTTAGAAAAAATTCCGAAAGAGAGCCAAATAGCAACAATAAAGCGGAAAAAGCTGCTCTGGAATAGAGTGACTATGCCTGCTGAAACAGTGAACGCTTGCGAATTTCCAACTCATTCAGTCGTTGAAAGAGTGTCTGATGAAAAAACCTCCCCAACACAAAGAGTACAATATCGTAAATCTCTCTGACATCCCACTCACAGTTGATAAACGACGTGTTTTATCAAAAGGCCTGAGCTTTTTCCCGCAACAGGCAGATTAGACGAGTTCTAATTTTAGAAGGATCTGGACAACTTTGCGAGCATGCTATGATTCAATGAATACTACTACATATATACTCGTGTAAGGGCCACACTTTTTTCTCAAAATTATTGCTTGGTGCGATGCTTACACGAATCACGCTGATGACAGCTCACCAAAGGTCTGTACCGTTTTCACAACTGAAGCAGAGTGAAAGAGCAGACCACCGAATGACTAGCCAGGAATGTTTTTATTAAGATTCCATTTCACTCTCACTGTCTTCATCACCGGAAGCACTCGCCCTGGCGTCGGCATCCTCCCAGAAAAGATCATCCTCAGTGCCACTCATGCAGTTTGGAAATCCGGTTACTTTGAAACTTCTCGCCACAACTTCAAATGAAACGGCACGCCACGCACTCAAAATCCATTTACAAACTTGTTGGAGCGACGCCCGCTTCAGCTGTCCCGTCGGCGCATTCTGATGATTGCCCCCAGCCATCTATTCTGAATAGCAGCGGTGAAATTTCGCTTTAAATGGGTGGCTAATGCAACTGTCGAGCGGCTGCAACACACTCGTCAGTCCTTCAGGAATAACATCCAAGTCTGTACGAGTCGTCGCGAGTCTGTTCTTGACGCGGTCTGTCAAGTGGCCCCTAAAACTGTCCAGAACAAGGAGGGCTTTCCGCTGTAGCAGGCCTCCAGGTCTGTTTGCCCAGACAGTCTTCACCCAGTCCACAAGTTCCTCGCACATCCAGCCCTTTTCTTGGGCACGCACATTGATGCCCTGAGGGAGCTTCTCTTTCGGGAGAGTCTTCCTCCTGAGCACGACATACGGCAGAAGTTTCCTGCCGTCAAAGGTGCACAGCATCACAGTGCACTTTTGGCGTTCTGCGCCGGTTGTGCGCACAGTCACACTTTTCGCACCTTTTAAGTCTACTGTGGTTTAGTCTTTTAAGTCTACTGTGGTTTTAAGTCTACTCTGGCGCGTTGTACCACACAGGAGTCTGGTCCGCATTGCTAAGTTGGGAAAGGTCATATTCATGCTCCCTCTGAAGACCATTCACGAAGCGATGGAATTTTATCACTTTACTTGTGTACTCGCTTGGCAGCCTTTGACAAAGCGTCGTTCGGCGGCGGATAGAGAGCTGGTTGCAGTTCATAAACTGCGCAGCCCATTCCCAACTTGCCTTGAATTGTGTCTGAGGGATTTCCATGTGGCGAGCGATGTTTAGGGCTTTCTCGCATATCATATCAGTCGATACTGCGTAGCCATCTCTTTGAGTATCGATGATATATTTGAGAAGTTTGCCTGCCAGATCTGTATATTTGCATTTCTTCCCGCGAAAGGCTTTTCGGCTCTGGTTGGTAGCAGTGAGGGCATCTTTGTGCTTCATCCAATAATGCACGTGCTTCTCATCTACATCGTACTTGCGTCCAGCTTCGCACTTGCCTTGCTCCTCGGCATATTCAATAACTTACAGTTTAAATCCTGCAGTGAACGACCCATCGTCCCTCAGCTGCACTGGCTCAAAAACACCAATTCAACGAGAACGTGTTGACTCGATGCGAACGATGTACCGCACAAAGTGAAAATGGCACCGCCCCATACGTCACCCGGAGGCATCGAGGAAGGAAAAACGTTCATGCCCGGAGGCATGCGTGCCCGGAGATTCGTCACCAACACAATGGCAGATGATGATGATGATGTGGTGCCGTCCCCTTTATAACGGGTCGTCGCGTGTGTGGTGGCTTGGCAATAAAAGAAGTATAAAAACCCCCAGCTAAGGGGAAAAGAAAAAAATGAAGAAAAACGATTAAGGAGAATGTGAGAGACGACCTATTCATAAAAAGAAAAAGAGAAAGTGAAAAAACTGGAAAAGATGATGATGTGATGGCAGCCAGCCCCTTTGAAATGGGGAAACACACTCAGTGTCATGGCCCCCCCCAAAAAAAAGAAGAAAAAAAAGAGAAAAAAAGAACAGGACCCACGCTCTTTAAGGACACAGGCAGGATACGCTCATGTAGTGGTCTAGGTCCTAAGTCCGCCGTATTGTTCCCCAACACTCAGTAAGCTGCCTTTTCGTGGCTGCAACCACGTACTGTTTCCCCCCTATGTCGTTGCTTCCATCTTCATTGAGCATTTTAAACCCGAGCATCTGTTGGAGGGTTGCACCATCCACGGGAGCAGTTGGGAGACTACTGCAGCGAAGAACGAGGTGCTCCTGCGTATCACTCTCTATGCCACAAACTCTACACAGGTTGCTGACAACAGTGCCATCAAACTTTCTGCGGTTCCTCCAGAGTGCGAAGAGCCCCAGCTCTCGCCTCGAACAGGAGGCTGCTGCCAATGCTGTTATCATAGAGGGGTGACCCACACATGCTGTCCTGGTGTTTTCTGTAGCACTTGAGAGTGGACTTTGCCTCTATAGCTTCTCGCCATCGGGTTTCTTCTTCTTCTTTGGCTCGCAGGTGGACCTCAACCGCCCACTTTGCCGCAGTTTCAATAGGACTGGCTCCTGCAAAAAAGCCATACTTTTTCTCCAGCTGATAGAGTTGTCACGTTCAGTCAGTCCTCATGCATGTTGCCGAAAGATACTCCTTGCTGCAAACTCTGTCCTTGATTACCTTTGTGCAAACTCTATCCGATGATGAACAATGTGTCCATCGTCACAAGTAACGCGTCATCATTTTCATATCATATAAGAGGCAACTTCAACAGTGACAGCGTGAACATCAGATACAGTCGACTCTCATTAATTCATACTCAAAAGGACATCTGAATTTTGTTTAAAATATCAAGAAGCTTGAATTATCAGAAGTTTTCATATAGATTTCACGACGAAGTTATCGAAGCGTCAAGTGAATCATTCAAAACATTGCTCATTTCACAAAATATTGAGTTTTTCTTACAAAGCTGCTGTATGTATTTTCAATTTCTGTGTCTTCATTGCAAATTTTAGTTGTTGACTCTGGCAAAATGACCTATCAGTGTATTATGTAACATTTTTTTGTTGTTTCTTTGCAGACATAACGTGTTTATTCTCACTTTTCCACTTTTTTGTACACATGTTCTTTTAATTTCGTGACCATTCGGTGGAATATGTTGGTACAGTATACTTTGTATTGACTTGTGCTATGTACAGCCTGCGTGCCGAACTGTTGTAGGAGCAGAAGCCGTTGTCAGGCCTCGTGAACTTTAGCTTCTGCTTCTTTCTGTTATAAACGAAAGAAATAAAGTTAAATTCAAAGTAAAAAAAAGTCAAAGATGACTCTGGCTGAGGTGATACCGCACTTTATGATTAGACATTGATTTAATCACATTTAAAAATTTATTAAATGTTTTAAACCTTAACTGCACTCAAAAATGGAAAGCAGAGGAAGAAGGCCCACAAGTTTATTGGCCGTTTACTGTTGATCAGACCTTTTAAAAAAAATCTTAAATTGCCAACTGCTTCTATGCTATAGGTAAGTGCCTTTTGCACAAAGCTCTTTATATCAATTGAGAAGCATCACGGTTTACCATGCGTGTGCTTTGTTTCAAACATTTGGTTACTAGCAAAACCTTTTCCTTAAAGGCCCGAGCTGCTTATTTCTTATTTTTCGACTGTTAGGGTTATATAAGCTTGCAAATTTTGAATAGCAGCTATTTTCTGGTATGAAACTGCAAAAAGTATGAATTAACCCATTGATGTAGTTTTAATTAAGAGGCTTTTAGATGCATTGAAAAAATAAAGGGCCAACCAAAAAATTGAACTTTGTTTGAATTAACCAAACATTTGAATTATCAGATTTTGAATGATCGCGAGTCTACTGTACCTTCTCGAATGCACCTCATGTCACGCCCAGTACTACATAGGTCTAACTGAAACTGCGTTCAGGATGAGAATCAACAACCACAGAGCACACGTAAAGACCCTACAACACCTTGCTCTCTCTAAACATGTTAATAATCTTGACCACCTCTTCCACACATTTTCTGCAGTAGTGCTTCAATCCAATTTCACGAAA